GTATTCAATGAGTAGTTCTTTTTTTTTTTTTTTCAAAGACTATAGTAAATTAAAATCCAAACAAACCCTTTTTTTTTTTGTCTCAAATCTTATTAACCTTACATTAACCTTTGATAAACTTTTGATTGCAGAAAAAAAAAAAGCATGAAAATTTACATATACACAGACCCGTCTCTACCCCCAATTTCTCGTTTCGCTTTTTCTCTTAAAGTTTTACTTTAAAATCACCTTTTTTTCTCAGAAAGAAAAAAATTGTGTAAAAAAAAATTTATGCTTTTATACTTTCCTTTATTGTCTTTCTTCAAATCTTGAAACAAAACTGTTATAATAAGCAATTTGATTAGTTTCATCAATAAGCTAAAAATTTTACACATTTAATTAATATTAGTATACTGTTACAGAAAAACTGTTTTATTTGTAGTTGCTGAAATTGCGTGTTGTTAACCGATGATATTTGCTTAATAGTAAGCAAAAGTAATTGCTAAAAAAGTTATCTTTCAAACAGACAATAAGCATAACTCAAAAGTTAGCACACACACACACACACTTAAACCTGAATCTGCTGCTTCTAAGGTAGGTAATTGTTAATCTAGAAGCAAAGTAATTTTTGAAAACTGGCTACTAAACAGACTGCGAATCTGCAGTAGTAGAAATTTTTTTATAGTTTTAAAAATATATTTATAATTTTTTTTTTCTTTCGCTATTTATTGTCTACCAAAAATTTATTTTTTTTTAGTACTGTTAAAAAAATACTATCAGAAAAAAGTATTAGACAATAAAAGAGAATATTGGCAAAAATATTTGATAAAACACCTGTGAAAGAAGTTAAAATATGCGTCGTGCATAAATTTTAAATTTTTATTTGGCCAAAAAGTTGTTGATCTTTGTTCTGCCAAAGTTTCCAACTGATCAATTTGACATTTTCTGCATATCAAATTAAAACAGTAATAAACTTTATCTGATTGATAGAAAACTGTTGAAGTAATTGTGGTGATCATCTTTCAATGCTGTTTTTTTTTTTCTTTTACAGTGAAGCAACTTTATTTAAAAAAAAAAATTCAAATGCAAATACAGTTGTAACGATTAAAAAATTTGTGTAGAAAAATTATTGTAAATTGGAGAAGCATTAACAAAACATTGATAACCGTCGGCTGACACCGACATTATACTGAACTGTTAAGAATGATACAGAATTGTTCAGCAGCAGTAAAATAGGGTATTTATCAAGTGCTATTGAATCAACAGTGCTATAGTAAGTGACGTATATTGAAGAGGCGTAAAGTTCAAACAGCTTACATATAATTTCAGCTTTTTTTTTTGCTTTTTTTTTTTGTTTTTATTAGAGAAAAATCTATTATTTGAAATACTTTTGTAAAGAAAAGTGGGTGGAAAACGGTAACTGTTTATGAGATCATGAAATAGGTGTCATGAAAGAGAAATGTCGACGTGCAGATATATCGTGTTATTTTTGGCTTTACTACATATTGTGCTGTTTTAAGAAGTTACTGAAATCTAAAACAGCTTATTTATTAGTGCTTTTCCGTCTTTTTCAACTGCTTATCTAATTTTTTCTCCTAATGCAACATTTCGTCTGTATCATTCGTTTTAGCTGCTCGGTTCTAAGATTTAGTTGACGATTTGCCACTACTAAAAGTATTCAAAAAAGTTACTTTGAATTACCGAATGGGTAAAGATTCTTCAGATTTTAGGCTATATAATCATTGTTTATAAGTAAAAAAGTATTTTATAAGGTTTTTCAAATTTATTCTGAGCTAAGATTGCACCTGATTAGCTTCTACAATGTACAATTTAGAAGCTGAAATAGAAGCAGTGTTTTGTCTTTCTTTCAGAATAATTGTAAAAATAGGGGACTACCATGAAAAAAAAAAAAAGACACCGATAGTTGACTGAAAATAAAAAATGTTGGAAAATTTTTGCCAAAAAAAATTGTTCATTTTATATTGGTGTAAAAAAAAAAAAAAAAAAGAAAATATTGTCAAAACGGTGA